TGTTATATTCTACTTCTAATGGCGTAGCTTTTTTTGTACTATGATAAGAATTATTATAGAATTTTATAGCTTTACACATTTGAGCTGTGATTGGAAGTTTTTTTGCTAAATTTAAGGTTCTTATACGTTCAGTAAGAGTATTATTTAACCTTTCAATATCAGAATTCCCTGTATGACTGTTAGGTTTTGTGGCATGGTAGTCTATACCCTTAGCAGATAGAAAGTCACGATCATTTTTGGAATTAAACTCATTATCAAAAATAAATGTTTTTGTATGCCCTTTTATGGCTAAAAATTTATTTATTTTTTCTACAATCGTTCGACTATTTCTGTCAGGTAAATTGAAAAAGATTGCATGTTTTGAGAATTTGTCAATAAAAATTATAAAAGATTGCTTACTGTTAACGTAAGTATCTATATGAACAATTTCATTTACAGTTGTGGGTGTTTGGGTGAATAGAAATTTTGATTTAATAGGATTTCGGTCATATTTCCCTCCATTGCAAATATCACAATTATTGATTATCTCATGAATTCTAATTTTCAGTTGTGGATGGTAAACCTTATGCTTCATTCCCTCATAAGTTGGAATAATTCCCGAGTGTCCTACTTCATATTTGTGAAAAAATGCTATCTGTTTCTTTAGTTCATGATCTTCCTGTATATCTTTGGCAAAATAGCTACACTTCACAAAGGACATTTTCTGATTATTTGAATATGTACTTAATAAAATTTGTTGTAGCTTATTATACTCATGATGATTAAGTTCAGAGTATATTGCGACTTTGGCATTATCAAAATGTCTTCGTACTATATTAATAACATTTTCAGAGATAATATCCCGTTTATCGAATAAAACTCGTTTGTTTTTGAAAATATTGATTACTTCAACTGTCTTGGTTTTTACTAAGATTATTTGTTTTTTAAAACGGTTTACAATGGTATCAAGAATTTTAAAATGGTCATTAAAATTTTCTACCTGAGAATGAATAGTTTCGCCATCAACTGATACATTATGGTTATTATCATTTTCTTCTAAATTCGTGTTATTATCTTGGGAGTTATTAGCTTGTACTTCCAAGGAAACTAATGTTTGGTTTTGTTGATTTTCGGCGCTTAAATTTTTAATTCTTAACATTTCATCCAAGGTGAATCCCAAATTTTCGGAATCTAACATATTTATTTCATCGCAATTAATTCGACTAAGAAAATCGGCTATTTTATTTTCTTTTCCGGTAATGTAATCGATTTTGGCATCGTACTCTCCCAGCTGCACTAACCATCGTTGCAGTCTAGGACTAATATCCTTACCAGAATTTTTTACTTGTAACCACTTAAGTGGCTGATGATGTGTTTGCAGATCAAACTCTCTCCCAAAAATATAAGGTCTATAGTACTTTACTCCCCACACTATTGCTAATAATTCTTTTTCAATAGTGGAGTAATTTTTTTCATGGTCATTTAATGTTCGCGAAGCAAACGAAATTGGGTGACCCTCTTGAGTCAAAACTGCGCCGATTGCAAAATTGCTGGCATCAGTGATGAGTTTAAAACGTTTATTGAATAAAGGATATTTTAAAATGGGATGATTTGTTATGATATCTTTTAGTTTTTCAAATGAAATAATATAATTTGGATCATTTAAATTAACCTTTGCATTCTTTTTTAAATATTGGTTGCATATTTTAGAATAGTCCTTTATAAACTTTCTATAGAAACCAGTAATTCCTAAAAAGGATTTAATTTGTTTTTGTGTAGTAGGCAGCTTCAATTTTTGTATCACTTCAATTTTATTTGGGTTGGGCTTTATGCCCTCAGATGTAAGAATATGCCCCAAAAAATCGGTTTCTTTTTTTAGGAAACTACATTTTTCTAATCGGATCTTTAGCTTTGCTTCTTTTAGTTTTAGAAAAATTTTTTTCATGTTCTCCATATGTTCAGACAAGGAAGTACTAAAAATTAATACATTGTCTAAATAAACGACGCAAATTTTATTTATAAATTCTCGAAGCACAGAATTCATAAGTCGTTGAAAGGTGGATGGGACATTTTTAAGCCCAAAAGGCATCCGCAAAAGTTCATAATGACCTAACGGGGTCGAAAATGCGGTTTTCTTCCTATCGTTGTCATGCATCAAAATTTGATGAAAGCCTTTGGCAAGGTCTATAGACGAAAAATATTGAGCTTTACCTAACTTATCTAAAATTCCATCTATATTAGGAATTGGAAATTTGTCATTTACAGTAACTTCATTCAGTTTTCTGTAATCAATTACGATCCGCCATTTTTGAGAACCAGATTTGTCCACTTTTTTTGGGACTACCCACAAGGGACTATTATAAGCAGAATTGCTTTTTTTAATTATATTATGCTTCAACATTTCTTTTATCTGCCTTTGAATTTCTAATTCATGAGTTTGTGGATATCTGTATATTTTTGAATAAATAGGTCGATCACTTGTAGTAACAATTTCGTGCTTAATTTCGTGGGTAAAAGAGAGTTTATCCCCCTCTTTGAAAAATAGTTCACTAAAGTCCTGTAATAATTTTTTTAATAATTGGTTTTCTTCAGAATTTAAATGTCTCAAATCTAAATTTTCTATGTCGCTGAATTCAAGTGTACATATTTCCTGATTTTTATAGGGGCTAAAAATTTTAAAGTGTATAATATTGCCTAATATGTTGACAAATTTATTCTCTTCATCAATCTTAGCTTTAAGAGGGATGAGAAAATTTTGTCTTATTATGGCATCATAATTTTTACTACTGAAGTCAATTACCTTCCAATGGAAGGTACCTGAGACGTTAAACTCTCTAGGTATAGAAGTTATTATTTTATGTGTCACCTGATTAATTCCATTTATTGTTCGGTAACAAATCGGTGTTGGGAGTTTCTGTTCAGTGAAATGATCTTTGAGAATATTTGGTTTAATTAAACTAGTGTCAGAACCGGTATCAATGAGACATCTAATTTCTTTGCTACCAATTGTTATTGTTATTATGGGCAATCTGCAGATCGAGGCAGGTTGAAAAAATTTACATCCTCCTCTACATTACCAATATCCATTGGCTGAAAATCAGTTCTTTTATTAATTTGGCTACGTCTAGTATTTTGGGTATCAACACTCATATGTGAGTTTCTAGTCTGAATTGAATTATTGAACTTATTATTTTGGTTTGACCGTGTTGAATTATCATTCTGATTATTTTGCCTGAAATTACTGCTGTAATTATATTGATTATTGGGTGCAGATGGTGTCTGATTACTTCGTTTATTATAGTATTGTGACTGTAATGGTCTTTTCAGTCTATAATTAAAGTGAATTGTTCGTGGATCGTCTAGCGCTTTAATTTGCGTATACTTCCTAATAACATCGTTAAGTGTACTGTTTTGATCAATATATGTTCTTAAGGGTATGTCAATTTTGTCAATTAAAATGTTTACTAAGTCCCTATCTACTCTACTTGGCTCATAAATGTCTGGCTTATTATCATCGAATGTATATATTTTATTAAGTTTTGACCTCGTCATTTCAAAATAAGAAAATAAATCTCTTAAATTACTTACTTTTATATTGCGACATTTATTGTAAATATCACCATATGTTGCCCTCGGTCGGTAATAGTCCATTAGCTTAATGTTAACTTGGTCCCAGGTTGTATTTGGTCCAAGTCCTCGAATATAGTTGCCGGCATCACCTGTTATCTTCTCGTTGATTATAATGGTCATTGCTAGCTTCGTTAATTGATGGTTTTCTGGTGGGCATAGTTCCATGACAGCTTCTACTGATGCTATAAAAGCAATGGCATCATGATCCTTGTTGAGGCATTTTATTTGGCGGAATTGCGTCAAAATATCTTTTGGTGCTAGAAGCTCTTGATGTTGCTGCATATTTTGCTGTATTTGCTGTTGTTGTACTTGCTGAACTTGCTGTTGTATTTGTTGTTGTTGTACTTGTTGAACTTGCTGTTGTATTTGTTGTTGTTGCACTTGTTGAACTTGTTGTTGTACTTGTTCGTGGAGCAGAATTTTAGCTTCTTGCCTCCTTATAACTTCCTCCATTTCCTGAAGTCTTTGCTGCAATTGCTCCATTTCGTTGCTCATAATTGGTCGATTTAAGTCGAATGCTTTTACTCTCCGCATTCAAAACTTTTTAGATATAAATAGTCGTTGCACTTTTTTTTTTTTTTTTAAGAATTTGCTTTTTATTAAAGTTAACTTCTGTATACAAATAGTTGTTGCAGTTTATTAGCGTTTATATTTTAAAACTTTTTATTAAAGTACACTTTTTAGATATAGATAATCTTTGCACTTTATTACCGATTTGATTTTTTTTTTCTAAGGTTCTCTTTTTGTCTTGAGACAAATCACCGTCGACTGCGCCAATTATATTTAATAAAGACACAAAATTTAAGTTATATGTTTGTTTATTGAATTGAATCTTAAGACTAAATTAAAAATATTTCTTAAACAATACCTTAAGTCTAGAAACATAATCAAATTCAGTTAACCCTGAAATGCAAAATATCTAACTCAGCAGATTTTTGCACCTGGGTACCGAATTTGATGCTTGCTGTCTTTGCAATAGCATTACCTAGATAACGCTATAGTAGACAGCTTAATATTTAGATCAACATGCATATTCACGTTAATACGATATTTATGAAAATATGCATGTCTATACAAACATAAATAAAATGCATACTAAGGTATACTAAGGTATCTAAACCACCACCATGTTCCTGTTAAAATTGATGGAAAGGAAATTCAAATGGAATTAGACACCGGCGCTCCATGCGCGGTAATTAGTTACAAAACCCTTCGATCGATAAGACCGAATTTTAAGTTGCTTAAAAGTGATAGGCGATTCACAAACTACACGGGTCATAAGGTTAATTGCGTAGGACGGATTGTAGTATCAGCGCCAATGGGTAAAATAGTACGACGGTTAAGTCTGTATGTCGTGGAAGGAGATTGTGATATACTTTGCGGCAGGGGATGGATATCACAATTTGCGAGAGAGATTAACTTTTCTGAATTTTTTTCTTCGTCCAACCATATTAATTCAATAAACTCTTTAGAGCGAGAACTGTCTACAAACCAGCGAGAGCGGCTCCAACAACTGATCGAGAGGTTTAAGAACGTATTTAGTGAAACGGCTGGGAAGCTTAGTGGTCCACCTGCTAAAGTGCATCTAAAAAAGGGAGCTACTTCAGTGTTCGCACGACCTCGCAAAGTTCCAATGGCATTAAAAGATGCTTACGGCAAAGAAATTGATCGAAACATTCAATTGGGGTATTACAAGAGAGTAGATCATTCGGAATGGGCTTCAACTACGCATATAGTTGCAAAGAAAAACGGTGGTATTCGCATTACAGGCAATTACAAACCTACAGTTAACCCACGAATGATAATTGATGAACATCCAATTCCGAAAGCGGAAGATTTATTTAATAAAATGAAAAATGCAACAATTTTTTGTCATCTTGATGTAACAGATGCATACACCCATCTTACAATTGACGAAGAATTTGCACATGTATTAACTCTAAACACAATCACGCATGGGTTAGTACGTCCAACACGTGCAGTTTATGGAGCAGCAAATATACTAGCGATATGGCAGAGGAGAATGGAGACAGTACTACATGGTATGACGAATGTGTTAAATTTTTTCGACGATATCTTAGTATATGCTAAAAATTTTGATGAATTGTTACAAGTGTTAGAAACCATTCTAGGCCGTATTCAGTTAAGTGGGCTGCGTCTGAATAAGTCGAAGTGTGTATTCGCCACAACATCTGTGGAGTTTCTTGGTCATCGAATTGATGCACATGGCATGCATAAGTCCCAGAAACATGTCGAAGCAATATTGAATGCGCCCAAACCATCAACGGTTGAAGAGCTTCAACTTTTCTTAGGGAAAGCAACATACTATGGCGCGTTCATTCCGGATTTGGCTACAAAGGCGCGACCATTACGGGACATGTTGAAAACAAAAGAATTTTGCTGGACGGGAGAGGCAGATGCAGCATTTACTCAGTTAAAACAAATATTGACTTCACCTCAAGTATTAATTCCGTACGATCCGTCACTACCGGTAATGTTAGCAACAGACGCAAGTCGAACGGGTCTAGGTGCTGTATTGTCACATCGTTTAGAAAATGGAGTGGATCGGCCAATAGCTTATGCAAGTCGAACGATGACTGCTACGGAACAACGATATACACAAATTGATAAAGAGGCGCTAGCTATTGTGTGGGCAGTGCAAAAATTTTTCAAATACTTATATGCTCGTCATTGGATATTGATCACGGATCATAAGCCGTTATCACAGATTCTTCAACCTAATAAATCGCTTCCAGTACTATGTATAAGTAGAATGGCTAACTATGCAGAGTTTTTAAGCAGATTCGATTTCGAAGTTATATACAAAAATTCAAAAGCAAACGCAAATGCCGATTATTTGTCACGTGCTTCCCTTCAACAAATAAATCAATTGCAACAAATAGTAGCGACTCATTCAGATGAACGTGATGAGTTCGATAATTTCATGATTTGCCAGATAAATCAGTTGCCTGTTAAAGCAGAACGTATTGCAATAGAAACCAGAAAGGACGAGCATCTCGGCAAGATAATCAGAATACTGGAAAGTGGCCGCTGTTTAAAAAGAGAAGGTTACAAATCGCCAGAAGCGAGTTACGTGTTGTCATCAGGGTGCTTGACGTTCGAACATCGGGTCGTTATCCCTCCACATTATCGACAAAGATTACTAGAGAATCTACACACACCGCACTTAGGAATGGTAAAAATGAAGCGCATTGCTCGTTCTTTTATATATTGGCCAGGAATAGACAAAGATATTGAGAATATGGCCAACGAGTGTGATGGGTGCGCGAGACAAGCGAATAAGCCGGTGAAATGCGATAGTCATCATTGGGAATACCCAAAAGGACCATGGGAACGTATTCATATTGATTATGCAGGGCCATTTGAAGGAGCAATGTTACTAGTAATTGTTGATGCTTACAGTAAGTGGTTAGAAGTTAAAATCACAAAATCTACTACGGCTGCAGATACAATTTCGCTTTTGGACGATGTATTTGCTGTTCTTGGAGTTCCGCTTATGGTGGTTTCTGACAATGGAACGAATTTTACTTCTGTAGAATTTAACGATTTCCTCACAACAGTTGGTGTTAAATACCATAAATATTCAGCTCCGTATCATCCAGCTACTAACGGTCAGGCGGAGCGTAGCGTACAAACAATAAAAAATGCGCTAAAAGCAATGGGCACAACAAGCAAGAACTTAAAGAAAAATTTGAACGAGTTCCTAAGGTAATACAAAAATGCCCCACATTCAACTACAGGGTTTTCGCCAGCTCAGTTGTTTTTGGGACGACATCTGCGAACACGCTTAGATCACATTCGCCCAGAGGAAATTGCAAAGAAGGTGAAAGATAAGCAATATTTGCAGTGTCAATCTAGTAATAGGTGTAGGGAATTCGCACCAGGCCAAAGCGTATACTTCTTATCGGGCAATTCGCGAATGCATAAATGGCTCAGAGGAACAATTAATACACGTTTAGGTGATCTTCACTACGAAATACTTTTTAATGGAAAGGAAGTAAAGAGACATGTAAATCAAATTCGAAGAGCTGCAAGTGCACCCATTAGAAATACAGCGAAAGAATATCGTGAATCAAAATATTTGTTCGAGAGTAGCGGTGACAAGACAAAGGACTCGCTTGAAGCAGAGAACAATGAAACAACCACTGAAGGGAGTCCGGGATTGGAGAATGAGTTTGAGAAGCCAGAAAACAATGAAGCAACCACTGAAGGGAGTCCGGGATTGGAGAATGAGTTTGAGAGGTGGACAACGCCCAACACATCAAGAAATGAGGAGTTTTATTCAACACCACACCCAATATCTGAGAGTACGCCTGAGACGACCAACGTAACTCCCGATGTACGATGGTCGACAAGACTAAGGAAAACTAGAGTGTGTTACACACCATGATCCGGTGGAGGAGAGAAAAATGTTGTGTATGAATTTTATACACTAGTAACATTATTTATGAAGTTTGACAGTTGTCATTTTAACTGAGTAGTGTTTGTTAATAGTTTATTATTATGAAGTAGAAA